GTATTTAAAAGCTTGATTTATGATCTGCTGTGTCAAATCTGCATCTTTAAAAAACAGAATGGAAATATAAATACTCAGGTAAAGAACCTTGAAGCTGCGCATAAGTGTGAGTGTCCTGCGTTACCTTCCTGCAGTGTTTCTGTCGTTTGTCAGCTGCTGTAGTCGCACTGATTCACGCACTCGTGAGATGTTCTGATGAAACCCAACATCCAGAGTAATTCTGATGAAACTAACAGCAATCAGCTCGCCGCTGCTTCGCTGTGGTTCAGCGTGAGGCGGCGTTAATGTGTTCTTAAATAACTCCGTCTCTGCACCTGTAGATCAGAGTCTCCATGATACATGTGAAACTGTTAAACCTCGACTCACAGCTACAGAGCGTCGATGCTCCTCAGAGAGCAGAAAGGTTCGAGTTCTTCTGCTGAAGCTCTGCAACAGCTGGACGACACATCTGGATGTGAAGTGACCAAGAAGCTGCTGCTGCTCCTCATCCAGGTGAACAGACGCCGTTCACTTCATCGCATCTGGAAGGGAACGTTCCCACAACGTTAGCTAACGAAGGAGGAACACTCAATAAATATCTCTAAAATGTTTTATGGCCGTAATGTGATATACTAAAGATGAAACTTTTTCTTTTTTTGTTACAGGGAGCACGTAGAACGTTCCTCTGTATGACGTTTCCACAACATTCTCAACACAACAGGTCTCGACAACATCTTAAAAACATTTTCTGATTGTTGTATTGAGAACGTTCTTTTGGAAACATCTCATAGAAGAACGTTCTGTAATGTGTGACCTTAACAGAACACTGCAGACAGAACGTTCCACCTTCGTTAGTTTACCGCAGTATGGGAACATCTTCTAAAGAACGTTCTGTCGTCTGAGGTCTCAACAACATCTTAAAAACATTTTCTTATTGTTATATTGAGAATGTTCTATAACGTGTGACCTCAGCAACGTCCTCAGAACGCTGCAGACAGAACGTTCCACCTTCGTTAATCCGGTAGAGGAACATCTTCTAAAGAACGTTCTGTCATCTAAGGCCTCAATAATACCCTAAAAACGTTTTCCGTAAGCGTCGTATTGAGAACGTTCCTTCGTCATTGTCATTATTTTTTAAAAGTGCGTTAGTTCCCTCAACAAAAAGAGAAAACGTTCTACCTTGAACATACCAGAGAACAGGAACGTTACAAAAGGTTCTGGATGAAAACATCCCGAGGCCTCGATAACGTCTCGACAACACTTTCTGAGTGTTGGTTTGAGAACCGTCATCGTGGAACAAAAAAGAAAACGTCCTATTAACTCTGCAGGAACATAACCGGAGACGAAAACGTTCTTTAAACATTAGATTTGAACATTTTCTTTTACAGAGTTATTAGAACTCGTAGATAGGTTTTCCGATGTTGTGGGAACGTTCCCTGTTGACAGTAAAATGTTTCCGATGTGACATAACGAACGTTGCTGGTTCCACTTTCTCGCCTTCCTCCCGCTCCGAGTGTCCGTCGGAGATCCGTCACCGTCTGGCGGCAGAACAACGGCGCAAATAAACCGAGCCGACGTGTTTATTTGTCCTCACTTGTCAAATTAAGAGTTTTATTACGGAATAAATCGGACGTGACTCGCGGGTTATAAATTGGGCCGGGTTAGCGGCGGCGCCTCGGGTTAGCGGCGGCGCCTCGGGCCAGCGGCTTCCTGTTCGGGACGTGTCGACAGCTGCAGGCCTTCAGGCTGCAGAGGACGGCGGTTATTAAAACACAGCGGCTCTTCATTACCGCCTCCACCTTCCTCCTCTCACCCTTCGCTCCGTCCTTTTCCCTCATCCGTCTCCTTATCTATCTCCATCCCTCTTTGTTTTCCTCCCCGAACGCACACGCCAGCACGCTTCTTATTAAATTAGCAATAATGTCACCGTGCTCCCTCCCAGGAGGCCGGTGTTATTGACTTCATTATGCAAATGTAAACCAGCCCAGAGCCACGCCGCTGATGGGATGCGACGCTCTCTCCCAGCGTTTGTCGGGCGAAGCGTGCCGGCCAGGAAAAGATTTCTCGCTGTTTCGGGTAATTATGTCGACCGGCGGACTTGATGTGTGTATTAGCGTGAAATCTGCCAAATCCTGAAAGGCCGGCGGCTCGTGGTATCGGTGACGGCGCGTTAGTGAAGAACAGAGCGGGAGATAATCGGCGGTGAATGTCGCGTGTTTACGGCGAGATTATTGTTTTTTCCTTTGAAGAGTTTTTTTTGTACCTGAGTGAGAACGTTTAGCATTTAAATGTCAGCAGGAATACGAGCAGGTTGAAGGGAAGGTGATCT